TTATATATTCTTCACTGATATGCTTTTGCTTTGTATTATTTTTAAATGGTATCATACTTAGGTAATTTCTATAGGTTGCTTTATATCACATTATGTTTTAGAGATTTTTACATTATTTTTCAGTCATCATTAAGTGGATTTTTTACAATAACAACTTGGAATTCCGAAGTCATACTCCCAGGAATAAAAACTACGTTCATTAAATGTCTTTGTCTCCCTTTTTATTAATTCAAACAGGCATCCCAAACTTATTTTTAATTCAAACTAAAAGAATTTAAAGGATGTTTCATGATATGAAAGGCTTTTAAAGGAATTCAACATAACTCCTTCTTAACTGAGTGATAATTTAGATGAGAAAATTTTGTATTATATCCCATCACCATTACTGGGTAAATTATAAAATATAATAATTAACCTGAAATATTTCAACCAACCACAGGGACTCTTTCCGTAACCATTCTGATTTTAACCACTAAAACCTTTTCTATAGACACCAGGGTTGCCTCCCTGACATGCATTCCTCTTTTCCTTAGCAACTAGTTAATGTTTTCTGGAGACGTGCACCATCTCTGGACAGCCTATTGAATTTGAAAGGTCACAATTACTGGTTCAGAGGTAGTTGCAAGTCACAATTTGTAAAATATGAGATGGCAGATGTGAAAAAGAAATAATCTATCTCATGAAGATATGGGAAATAAATTTCTCTGATATTTCAGAAATAGCTTCTGGAAACATCATCCCTCTCCCTAATTTTGAACAAAAAAAAGCATATAACAACTAAAAACTATTAGTAACTATTTGGGGACCACAAGAGCATCCAGTCACTATATTATCATATTTTAGTAGTAAAATTCAAATTTTGTCCAGTGCAATAATGTACTGTTAAAAATATATTCCCAAACTCTTTTGTCAATGTTGACCATGTGGCAAAATTCTAATCCTTAAGATGTAGGCTTAAGGCCTTGAAGAGAACTTCCTTTCTCCTAAAACAATACAAGCTATATCAGGAGAAACTTTTGATTTTCATCCTTTCTCTTTTTCCAACTCAAACTCAAGTATGACGTCTAGGGATGGGACAGCACTTGTACTTCATAAGGATGAAAGTCACAGGCTCAGCATAATAGAACAAAAGATAGAATATGCTGGTGTCCTTAGGATTTCTTTGAAGAGTTTTGATAAATGGTTCTGGATTTCCCACTTTTCAAACATACTAATACACAAGAAAAAATTAACTCTTATTTAGTAAAGCCACTGTGGCTGGATTTTTGTTATAAGCAACCTGCCTGCCATTACAACTGAAATTTAATGTTGGCTTTCCAATCACATGAGTAATTTTCCAGTATCATTTAAACCACTTTGAAAAGAATTTCTATTACTTGCAACTAAGAGCACCCTAAGCTGGTAGAGTGTACTTTCTAAGGACAGGATAAGACTTCTGACTTTACGCCTCACAAAGAAAAGGACTATATGTTATTCATCCTAACCTCTGCCTGACTGATACAGATCTTGAGAAAGAAGTAGCCACATGCAGTCCTTCCTAAAAAAGGGCATTACCTCGCTTACATAAGCTAACCAACTGACAAGCAGGGAAACAAATAAATGGCACATTCGTATTAAGAACTTCTTTACACATGACATATACTCAAATTTGTTGACATAATAAGGCTAGGAAACATCTTTTAGTGAACTATGCCTTCCATTTTTCACACTAAGAGATCAAACTTCCCTACCCCTACTCTCCTTTCCTTCTTCCTTCCTTTTACACTTTTAGATGCTTAAAAGAAACTATAATAGTTCTTTGAGTCCTTAATTTCAGTTTGCTGTCATCATACTATAAACCCTTTCCTTACTATTGGAAGCTTTAGGTATACTGGTAAACATTAATGCAAATTCAAGGCATGGTCTCATCTTTCTGTTTTCATATTACCAAGCCTAACCAGGCATACTGTAGTTGTCTGATTCAGAAAGTACTCATACTATATAATCTGAGACTTCTGCAACCATTTATTTTAAAGGAGTCGTTGAGCCCTGAAAGGCAAATGCTATCATTCAAGTTCTAATTACATGCTACCTGGGTTTTACAGAACAGAAAAAAATGAATACTGTACTTTCCGAACACATTTTTTGACCATAAGCAACCTCCAAAATAAATGCCCCAAATATTTTCTGAATGTATGGCTGTACAATAGCTCAGGAACGGCCCTATTCAAATTATGTCCTACTTTCTCCTTGTGCTGCTTCTGTTTGATAAATGGGTCAATAAATGCTAACTCAAAAATTGAAATAAATATATTTTCATTGTTATTGGCAGACATATAATTAACTCTGAGAATAAAAGAAACAAGAAATCAATTTATGATTACTTCTTTAGTTCTTCCCATTAGTCATTTACATTATAAATGTAATTCCACTTTTAAAATCTTTATACACACATACCATCTTGACTAAATTATAAATCAAATTATTTCAATCACAAATTAGTGCTGTATGAACTGTGACCCTCATATGTTCATTAGTAAGATACAACTGTATTATTACCCATGTATATGAGCTGATTAAAAAGCAATGCACATTTATGAGCCTATATTAATTAGTAATTTCAATAAATGTGTCTACACAATGTTAGAGATTTGTTTTGCCTTCTCTCTAGTACAAATAATCGAATTAACATTTTTCTTTATGTAAGTGTATGCATCAACAAATTATATTTCCATTTTCAGGCAAAATAAGCTGCTAACAAAGAAAATATTACAAAAGAGTAAGTAAACATTTTTTACAAACAGCAAACCTTTCATTTAAAAAAACAGTTATTATCTGTCATGTCAATATCATCACTAATCCAGGAAAAATGCATCTTATAAAAAACTTACATAAGTGACCTTTAAAAAATATTGCCTTAGATGCAAAGCTTCAGATGTATTACTATGTGTCATGAAGAAAAATGTTTAAGATGAGCTCAAGAAAATCTGTTTTAATAAAATGTTACTCAATTGTTACTTTCATTATTGTAGTTTGATTGGTTTAAAATTATTTATCAAGGACAAGTCATTTCACCTCTCAGTTTCCTCACCTATAAAGAATGAGTAATAATGGTGCCTCATCACAGGATTTCTGTTAAGGTGACAGGAGTTAATACAAGTGAAACATATAGAATGGTGCCCAGCATATAAGCATTCATTGCTAGCTATGCATGACATAGTTTTATATATATACATATACACTCATTATTTCTATTAGTTTCTAATTACCAATCCTGAAAGTATCTTAATTCTTTTTCAAGGAAAAGAAAGCTACATCATGACATTTTTCAAGCTTTGCCCTTCCCACCAGTTTTAGGACTTTTGGTAGCAGATAATTTATCTGCTATTCATAGGCAAAATAGGAGGTAAGGTCTTTTAGAATGAAAGTTCCAAATTCTATTTTAAAAACGAGCCGTCATGTCTTTCTTAGTGGGGAGGGAAGAATGCAGAAAGGCTGGTAGACTAGATAGGAGAAATAAGTTCTGGTGTTTTATGGCACAGCAGGGTGATTGCAAATAACAATGATGAACTGTGTATTTCAAAAAGCTAGGAGAAAACATTTTTAATGTTTTCACCCAAAAATGATAAATGGTTGAAGAGATATGCTTATCTTGATTGAATATCATAAAAGATATACATGTAGAGAAACATAACATGGCACCCATAAATATGAACAATTGTTATGTGTCAATTAAATTAAAAATACAGTACTTTCCTTATTACCCATGCCACTATAATTATTCATTAATTCATCAAACATACTAATGTATACTTTATGCCAGGCAATGGATACAATGAAGATAAAAGATGGGTAAAATAAACATCCTAAATATATTACTAACAAAATAATGGGGGCTACAAACACAATTATGTGTTGTAGTGTAATTAAAGAATTTTACTAAGATGTCTAAGGAAGGTTTCATGGGTGATGTTCGAGTAAGACATAGAAGTAAGAGTGGAGGCTTACCAAGTGGAGAAGGCTTTAGGATTTTAAGCACAAAGAAAACTGAATATTCCTCATAGTACTAAGCTGAAATAAATATTTTTGAAGTAAGCAGATATGCTTGAACAGACTACCCATTACATGCTGCTTGCTTAATTCATTGTTAGATATTGAATAAGTATTTTTGAGTAACTGCTCCCACTCATAGTGAAGCCTTCATCATGACATACTTAAACCATGTTCTTAGTTTCTGTTCTTTCTAACCACCCTCCCGATTGAAGAGATCTTCCTAAAACTTCTTTTATCACACAATTTCCCTGATCAAAAACTGTCAATAATTTCCTCATATTCTTAAGATATCACCCCTCTGCTTTTGACTAGATTCCTTTCCCTATGTATCTCAGCAAATCTGCCTCCTCCCTGTACCACAAATGTTTTCTCCTACTACTTCTCTTTGCTTCTCCAAAATTCTACTCCTCTTTCAAAAATCTTTCTTCAAGAAGCCATCAGATTATTTTGCTCCTATTTAAAATAACAGAGCTTTACAAAAGCCGTAGAGGAGAGAGAATACTAGTGGAAAAAGTATACTTTTGGATGAAAGACCTGTTCAAAACATGGTTGAGAACTGAAAAACAAAAGGCAGAGATTCATTTGAAAGTTGCATTCAATCCATTACATCCACATAGCACATTTAAATTATTATTATTCAAAATTTATATACCTCACCAACTACTTATTGAACAATTATTCTTCCAATGACATTGTGCTCTTTTAAAACCTTAACCCTCCCACAAAATGGACAATGAATTCTTCATTTGTTAAACTGGTTTCTTTAGGGAAAGTGCTTCTTAAGAGAGCTGGAGGTATCACCGCATTCAAAATTTTAGTTACTAGACTGCACGGGATTCCACTAACCAGCACACAAGTCCTGCGCCTCCTAATTGAAGGACAAGTGGTGGAATAGTGAAATGACCCCTAGAAGCCAAGTTCAGATAGACTTTTTCAAGTGATAATTTACATGCCCAATGCTTCAATACCTTAGATTCCAACTGGATTTTCTCTTCATTCAGCTCCTCTGTTGCTTTCTTAATTTTTTCCCGACATCTTGTTATTTCTGACCTTACTGTAATATAAATTAAATCTTTAAACACATCCATCTTCCTCAAGTCCCCATATTGGTAGCATTTGGTATGACACTTCTCAGCTGTCTCTCCCTCCACAGAGGAAGCAAACTTCCCTATGGCTCTGACCGCTCACTGTCTTGGGGCGTCCCCCTTCTGCTCCAAGCACCCAGCCAGCTCCAGAAGACAAATGCCAGAGGACCTGGCAGGAACACCTGACCTTCCCGCATCACGCGGCGGCTCTCCTCTGCCTGATGCTCAGTGAAGATGATGTGCTGAAACAAAGACTCTAAACTCATCCCGGCCGGGCTCCTGCCGGTCCTTTCTTGCTGTTAAATATTTTATAACTGAGTCTGAGGATCCTGGAAAGCACAATAAAAGATTCTTGTAGGACTCTTCCCAGCTAGACCTGCCTCCAATCCCTGCCCCTCCAACCCAGGCAGGAGCCCGACGTGGGGCAGAGCGGGGGCCCTGGACGTCCAGATCTGATGACAGCCTCGCCTCCCCAAGGCCCTCAGGACAATGTCAAGCTCTGCCCCTGTCCCTGGACCCGGCCCTGGCTTCCATCTAGTTGTTAAGGTCCTTTCTGTAATTAGCCTTTTCCTCCCAGCGCTCCCCCACCCCCGTTTAACTGTAAGTGCCCTCACCCCCGTTTAACTGTAAGTGCCCTCACAGTGTACTATCAGCAAACCCAAGCTTACCCACAACACCCCGCGGCCGAGACCTTCCCTCAGGCTGTGGCCAAGGCATCACGTGGCCCTAGTCTCGCGAGAACTTAAACTACGGCGGCTCTTTGGGCTCAGTGTGCAGCCAGTGTGGTTTGTTATGGACAAACCTTTAGGCCTTATGGGAGCAGGGACGTTCAATCTGCAGGGCACAAAACACCTGGAATTTTAAAGCACAAAGTGCCCGTGATTCTAAATATAAACTTTTGCAAAGTCTTACCCTTTGACAACGGCAAAGACTACTATAAATGTGCAATGTCTGACATTCCGCTTTAATCATTCCTTTGTAATCAGGGCATATCTTTTTTGTCTGCTTTAAAATTAATCATTGCCTTTTGTAATCAAGCTGCAGTAATATTAACACTTCAATATCTGCACAATATGTGTCAGAGACCAAAGTGGTTGCTAATTAAAGCTTAAATATGAAAGGCACCTTTGGGATTTTTGCATGGGATTTTTTAAATTAAAAAATAAAATATTTTTAGTTTTAGTAGGTCAAAATATTGACATTGTAATAAACATTTGACTTTATTTCTGAATAAAATTGACATTGGTTAAACTTTTTAAAGCAAGTCCTAATTAGAACGTATTTAGAATTAAGTAAAATAAGGTAAATCTTAAATTTTGTCACATCACAATAGTATTACTATTTCATTAATGCTTCAGTATATTTAGTTATAAATTTTAATATATTCCAGATTTCTACCTTAATTTCCATTAAGTCATATCTGCATAAAATCTGATTTTTTAACTTTGTTATAAAAGAATACATACCAAAAATTGTAATAAAGGAGAAAAGAATTTCCCGTAAGCATATTCGGAAGCTAGTGTTAATGAAATTTTGGCTATTGCCTTTCAGGTAACGTTCCTCATTCTGCATTTTTCATTTACAAACTTGAAATTATTGTGAATGAATGATAATACGTTGTCATTATTATATTATATTTTAATATAATAATTATTGTATATTATTATAATGGATTGCATATTTGCCAAGTAATATTATTAGCATTCTATATCCTTTTGAGATGAATTTTGCTATTCTTTCTATATTTAAGGAAACTGAGTCACAAAACAACTCAATGAACAAATTGAATTTAATGAACAATTTAGTTCAATCAGCAGCTGAAATCACACATTTATTAAGTTTTAATCAGCCCAACAACCCTATGAGATCAATGTTTGTATTACTTGGAGGACTGAGGTAGAGAGAGCTAGGTAACATCTCCAAGGTGACTTTCAATAGATAGGAAGTTATATAATCAAGATTTGAACCTTGTATTTTATCAAGGTTGCATAGCTAGTATATGGCAGAGAACTGAAGCCTAGAAATCTCAGATCAGAAGACATAAATTCAGTTTTGTTTTCTGCTCTTTCTTCCCTCTTATTACATCACAATTATTTTACCATTTCTTTCAAAAGTCTGCAGAAATATATTTTACAAGACACAATCCTCCATTATATGTATGTATGTGTATAATTTAGATACACAGAAATAAACTTGGCTATTATAGCTAATCAAAGGGAGAAGATAAAGCTGAGTTTATGGTTTGAGCCATTTTCTTTGAGCACTCATTTGGAGGCTTCTGAACTGTACCACAGTGGCCATCAAAGGGCTTACAGAAGATAAATTATATTACTAATTAATACCACTCCCTTCAGAATTATTTCCTGTGGACTTATATAGGGAGCATCCTCACAAGGAGGCTGGTTTTCAAAAGCATGATGCTATTTAAAATTCCAATTTTATTAGTTACACTCAAACTCCATTTATTATTTAACATGCTCTTTCTGTACTGAAACTTGGCAGAATGAAATTTGGGCAGCCTTTGGAAATCCAGTGGCTTCTCTCACACGTGATAAGAGAGCTGCTGAAAATTCAAGAGAGGGATAATGGAGAGAAATGGCATCGTGTTCTGCATCATCTTATCTCCCCCACCCTCAAACATTCTGGTGCTTTTAAATCTTGTTAGAATGTTCTTAGAGGTACTACAGCTATAGACATTAGCAGAGTTTAAAATTTTTATTTTGTTTATTGAAGCAAGCATAATTATGTAAGCCCACAATTCAAATTTTACATGTATATAATAATGAATAAAAGTAACATAGTAAGACATTAAAATGTTGCTATCATATATCTACTTTATTCATACGATTTGTATAATGTTAAGTTTTTTTCTCTTGCAGATATATATGCTGATTACATCCTACAATGTACAGAGCACGAGTAGCATTACTTAAATTTATGACAAATAAAAATGGTATATGACATGATAAAAGTTTGTGGGCATACTATTTTCTGAAAATGTATCTTATAAGTCTAAAAAAAGAAATGATTCATTCAACAACTGTTTAATGAGTTTCTGCTTTTCATTCAACATTCATTCAACAAGTATTATTGAATATCTCCTTTGTGCAATATTAGAAAAACAACAACAAGATTTAATAAAAAACAGAACTACACAAAAAACATTTTTCTTTCCCTGGATAATTCTAACCTCATTGGAGAATTATTATATTTTTCAGCATTTTGGCAGCAGTATAAACAACTGTTTTCAGATGTTTCAACAGATGTTCTTAGAAAGAAAGCCAATTATTTGTGTTATGATACCTACATATGATTCTCAGATCTAAATTTTCCATCTGTACAAGTTTCACTGAACTGCATATCTATGGAAAATAAAAGTTAAGATCACTCATTGTCTCCCAACCTCAGACTTTTGTTCATAATAACACTAGCACCTGGATTATGGAGCCATCAATAATTGCTTTGCTAGAAGGCCTTATATAAGGCTATACTGCTCTTGTGATTTAAAATTCATTTGTTCTCCTTTCTTAGATTGATGACTTCCCTAAGTTCTAAACCAGCCTTGCAAATACCCACTAGCCCAGGGCATATATATTGCAATGGAAAGAAAAAAAGTAATTCATTTATTTTATGTTTTTCTTAGGGCATCTACCACAAAGAAAAAAATATGTGGGTTCAACCAAGTTTAATGACCATTTATTGAATATCTACTAAGTATGAAATTCTCTCCTGGGTACTATGAGAAAAGGTACAGGTTTGGCCTTATCTATCAAATAAAGAAGAATATGCACAAATAACTCCTGGGCAAGCTATATATAAAAACTTCACCCTTGTCCATGGAAATATGGTGGACAGAGTGAGAGCGAGTCTGATATAGATGATCTGGCAGGACTTATCTGTAGAGGAGAAAAGGAATCTAAAACTTCAATAGATAGAAAATAAAGGGGAAAAAAAAGAAGAAAGTTAGTTGGGGCCAACATTTGGAAAATGTTTAGCATTTTCATGTATACAATACAGGACTATGTAATAATGTTTTTGAGCAGGTTAATGGCATTTCAGAGTTGCTCTATAAGGTAAATTCATAGTAGTAGGTTAGAAGCACTAATTCTGAGCATGCATTGAATAGCTTGCTGTCTTAGTCCATTCAAACTGCTGTAACAAAATATTGTAAATTGAGTAGCTTAAAAAACAATAGAAATTTATTTCTCACCGTTTTGGAGTCTGGGAAGATCAATATTATGATGCCTGTAAATTCAGTATCTGGTGAGGGTCCCTTTCCTGGTTCACAGACATTTCCATATCACTTCATCATCATGGGTAGAAGGAGATAACCAGCATTAGGCTAGCTAGCATAGTGCAGTCTCTTTTATAGGGATACACACTTCAACCATAGGACCCTGCCTTCATTATCTAGTCATCTCCCAAAAGCCCCACTTTCAATAGTACCACATTCAGGGTTAGAATTAAAAAATATCAATTTGGGGAATCCAAACATTCAGACCATAACACTTACTGTGTGCCAATCACCATCTGAGACCTTGACATGGCTGAATCCTTTTAATTAACCCAATAACCCAAGGAGACCAATGTGTTTGTTATTTGGGGGACTGAGGCAGAGAGAGCTAAGTAACTTGTCCATACACACAGTAGCAAAGAAGTAGCAGGGTCGGGATTTGAATCCCAGTCATCCCTTAACCTTTTCACCCTACCTCTAAAACCTAGAGACTGAGGAAATGAAACCTCTATTTCAGTGTCTGCTTCATTTCAAGGCAGATATATTTTCCAAAAGAAATGCTTATTAATAGTGTACTTTTTTCCTAAGAACATTTGCAGGCTTTTAGAATGTAGATTAGTGATATAATGCATCTGTAATCAATTAAAATAAAACATGATCTAAACAAATAGCTGAGAATGAGTCTGTCATATAGCTGGTAAACTTGAAGTTTTACATTGTTGAGCTCAGACCCCAGCCCAGAGACTAGGAAGGCTGTCTCAAGTGCCTTACTCAAAAGAGCAGCTTGTCAGTCCCAGAAAACCAATTCAAAACAAAACTTGGAAAACATATTCTCCACCATACAAAATTTATTTGTTTATTCAATAAGCATTTATTGGCAGATAAATGTGTGTAAGGCAAGTAAGGATTTTTTTATTGTACTGGGTGGGAGTACATTGTGGCATTTACAAAGATTCTTATAATATATCAAATGTGTCATAGTTGAATTCACCCCCTCAATTTGGCAATACAAAGATGAATAAAATAAGGGGCTTGCAATTCAGATGTATTAAGTTGTAGTTTCCATGACAATAAATTTAAGTTGGTTTGGGGTTA